AAAGCAGTGATAAGTCTATTTCTAGATAATAATATTCACAACATCTTTCATAAGGGTACATCTTCTATGTTGTGCCTTTTCTAGCTGATTTTTGCATGTTTTTAATTGAGGACATTATTAGGTTCTATTATCTGAGAGATGTTCCAGTAACATTGTGTTTAGCTAACTGACTCTCAAGAAACCTATGTTACACATCTGAGTCTCAGTTTTAATATCTACAGACAGAGAAACTAAAAATAGGCCCCTTATAGAGTCCTTTCAAAGTTTAAAAACCTCTTACTGTGTTTTGTCCATAGACTTGCAGTGAGAAAAGAAATTTAATAACAATGCTTAAGAAACATCAAAATGTACTCAATTTTATGTAAATAGTACATGTCTTCTTCCATCTAGAGCAGTATTCCAAAATAACTCTTATGGCTTCAAGTGGCCAAAATAGCACAACTAAGATATAAATATTTAAATTATAAAAAATAAATTATAATCTTAGCTTATTGACGCAACTTAGAAAATACAGCAACATACTTATAAAAAGTTATCTTTTAATCCCATAATGTGGGATATTTTTAAACTATAGAACAAAATATATACTGTAATGAAAAGATTAAGAAGAAAATTATTTAGAAACAGAGTTATGCAAATTGTATTTGAATATACAACTACCTTTTGTTTTAAAATTTAAAATATTGTGCAAAACTCTATAATACAGTAGCATTTAGCAGCTTTAAAATAAGTCATTTAGCTAATGAATTCAAGAATATTTAAAGAGTACTTAGTATGTGTCGGCCATTATACTAGATACTGAGATATCATAGTGAATGAAATAGAAAAAGCCTTTGGCTTACATACTGGAGTGTGTAAGAGAGAGGTTGAGGTGTGGAGGTGAGGAGGTGTGAAAGAGGAGAAAGAAAATGAATGTATGGTTTGATAGAGATACAGGAGATAGCAGGCTGAAGAAGAGTTTGTCTAACTATTCAAATATTTGAACAGAAACCTAAAAGAAATAAGAACCCCTACAGCAGATACAACAAAATACTGAGACAGGAAATTGCTTGGCAATTAATTAAGTTAAGGGGTATAGAATAGCAAAGCATGTAGTCAGAAATATATGTGCTCCTGTATTTCCAGTTACTATGTGTCAACTCTGACCCATTAGTGTTCCATCATGCTTCCAAAGGCACTAAGGCTCTTCTGGGTAGATCTGAGTAGGTCAACCCTTTGCACTACCGAGGGGCCCGATGTTTATAAACCCATTGAGGTTGTGGTGGTTCTGACTTGTCACAACTCCCTTTTGTCATTGTTGCTGAGTTTTGTTTTATAGCAACCAATCCATAGTTAACCATTAAGCAGATTTTCTGGGGCAGTAAATGGCACCAGAGTTGATTGCCTATCATTTTCCCTTGAGCATCTGGTAAATTCAAACTGAGTATCTTTGGGTTGGCAGCACAATTCTTTACCACTAAAGCCACTTAGAAAGTAAACTGTCCCACAAGAGTGTCTGTCTTCATAGAAACATCCTGCCACATCTTTCTCCAGCAGAGGGTTTGGTGGGCTTGACCCTTCAGTTAGCAAGCAAAAGATTTGGAGTGTTTGTCACTAATAAAGAACATCAAAGATCACTTGAGGAAAATTTGTTTTAAAATAATATGTCATTGAATCTGTGTGAACAGAAAGATTATATAAACAAATATATATTTAGAAAAAATAGCAAGGCTCTTGTGTTGAGAGAAGATTGTCGGTATTAGTTGTTGTTTTTTGTTATGTGCCATTGAATTGCTTGTAACTCATAGCAATCCTATGTACAATAGCTCTGAACCTTGTCCTGTCCTATCCTGAGCCAATCACACTCACTGTCTCTGACATATTACCTCCATTACCCCAGTCACTGTGTCAATACATCTCATCAAGGGGTTCTCTCTCCTGTACTGTTCCTCCACCTTTCCCAGGATTATGAAGGAATTTAGGGAATCAAATTATAAGCATTTTATTTCAAAAGTTTAGATATGGTAAACCATTGATTGCTAGTTATATTTAAAAAGTTGTTGTTGTTGTTTTTAAATGCCATCGAGTAGTAGACAACTCATAGCGACTCTATGAACGAAAGTCCTGAACACTTGTATAACTTTCATAGTTTTTCAAAGTTCATAGGTTTTCCAGGGGCAAGTAACTTTGAAAGTGGACGTCACTCCTTCTTCCAAGCTTGTTTTAATCAGGGAGTTCCACCAAATACTGTCCACCATGGGTAACCATTATCACATTTGATACATCGGTGTCACAGCGTTTAGCATCACAGTAACCATGAGTTTCCTCTGTACAGCAAATAGACAGACCAGTGCTATACCACTTAGAAGAATGTTTGACCAAAAATAATTTAAAACCAGGCCTGAGTGCCACACATTAAAATCCACTTTTGGCTTGGTAGCATCACTTTCTGTCCACTAGGCCAGCCTAATATATTTGCTGATGGATTAGATATAAGATGAGAGAGAAATGAGAGGAGTCAAAAGTGACTAAGTTTCTGAACTGAGCATCTGAAAATTTGAAATTTTCATTAAATAATATAAAGAAGACCATAGTAAGAGGTGACTTGAAATAACTGAAAAACAGTAGTGCACCTCTGTATAAATATATTGTGAATTCAAGAATAGCTTGGAATTTCTATATTGGATGTAAGAAGTACTTTGGAAAAAAATGAATGCTAGCTATTACTTTCTAGTTTTTAGTGTTTTTTAAAATATTTTTTTCCAATATGAAAATTTTATTAGATTCTCTAGCAACATAAATTTATGCCATGTGAAAAGTCATTGCTTGAATTGAGTATGCTTTTTGTACTACAATGAATTTTCAGATATTTTAAATGCTGCTTCATAGTGTTAGTTAATTCAGCTTCAACAGAGTAGCTATACATATTTTTGTCATTGAGCATTCTCTAGATAATATATACATTTTGATTGACATATTAGTAATAAGTAAAGGAGTTCTGGTAGTCTAGTGGATAGTGACTTGTGCTACCACTCAAACAAAGGCAGGTGGTATGAATCCATCAGCTGTTTGGTCCATAGAAGAAAGAAAATAACCTCCTTAATGTGATTTACAGCCTCTGAAAGCCTGCTAGAGAGTCACTTGTAAATCACTTCTGACTCCATGGCAATGATTTTGAGTTATTTTTGAGGAGTGCTTGAGATTTTAAGCATTATAGATTTACAGGAGAATGTTGTACAGAAACATTCTACCTTTTGTTCAGACAGAACAAGAGGAAAAGGAAGAGGAAAAAAGAGAATTAAATGGAAATTGTAATTGGCAGCTAGGGCTGAGCTGATTTGAGGGTCCATTTTCAATTCTAGGTTATAGCTCTCAATTTCTTAGAAGTCATATGTTGCTTTTGTGAAAATATTGTAAGGTATAAATTTTTACCTGAAAAAAAATATATCCTGACAACTCAACCTTTGACTGAAAATTCTGAGTCAATAATTTCCCCAAATCTCAAAGTAGAAGGTGTCCATATTTTAAGATGATCAAACCAGTTGCTTTCTTGAAAAAAAGAGTTGAAGGAAATAGCAGGTTGTAGAGTTCTCTAGAGTGGTATTAGTATAAAACATAATGAGGAAAGGAAGCTAGTTGGGAAATTCAATCAAGATTCTAAACTACTTCAAAAATGTATGTAGTGTATATATGTATCATAAAGTAGTTTGGGTATGACTTTCTGTATGTAAAGGGGTTCAGCTGAACTGATTAATAGTTTATATAAACATTTCACATTTCCTAAAATCAAATGACAGGTAAAGATGTGGCCTTACCTGCTCTATAGGATGGTAGTTATTTTTCTTTCAGCTGGTAAGAAAATTTATACACTTAAACTATGAACTTATGCAATGAGTAATGACATTTAAGATGATGTCCAATACAGAAACTTATTAGTACAAATTTTACTGATAAATTTCTTTCACTTTTCATGTTTTCTCATCTTGTGTTTTTAACACAGTGGGTTTTAAGATGGAAGAAGAACATATGACATTAGTCTCAAGGTGACTGTTTCTTGGATTACAGCTTATTGCAAATAATACCTGTTTTTGTTGTTGAGTATAGTTGGGTTGAACCCAAGCCATAGCTGACTGTCTAGTGGATTTTCAGAGGCAGGAAATTTCATAAGAGGAGATTGTCCAACCTTCTCTTGCACAGTAGCTGCTGAATTTGAACCACATGCTTTTGGGTAAATGTGTATTGTGTTCTTTCCTCTAATGATGAAATATTTTTGACAATACAGCACATCAAGAAAATTCAGTTAGCAATGCATTCTATTTAAAAAAAAATACAAAATTCAGAAGTCAATTATAAACCAACATAATTTTTCAAATGGGAAAGAATTTAAATAAAATCAAAACCTTAAAACCAACTCATTGTAGTCACCCATCAAGTCAGAATGGCTCACAGCTCACTCTGTTGAATTTCCATCACTAGGAGGAGATTGGCCCCACCTCTCTCCCTTTATTTGGCTGCTATATTTAAACAAGAGAGTAATTGTTGACAGCACACTTCTCTAAGGCCTAGGTCATCAGAGCTTCCTAAAATTGCTAAAACCTGGGCTAAATTGCCACTCTTCACCTTGTGAATAACAATCCATAGTCAGAATGGTAGAGCAGACTGTCACGGATTGAGTTTACACTATCAACTCCGGAAGCAAAATAAATCTTTCATATTAGTCCATGTTAGGAGTGATTGGAACTACCTAATGCATCTCTTAAAGGAGTTCTGGTGGCATAGTCATACAACTCTATCAGCTGCTACAGAAGAGAAAAATGGGCACTATCTTCCTTTGTAATGTAATGCTTCTGAAAAGCCACTGGAGGATCAGTTGGTTCTGACTTGAGAGCACACAACATTAACAACAACAACAGTCTATCTCTTAAAGCAGTTTAATTACTCTAGGTTTCTTCATCTTGCCATATTCAATGCCTTGCTAATTTCTGATTAAATAATCACATTATCCTCCTTTTTTCTTGCGATTGTTTAAATGTGATGCATTTATAAGGATTGAGTCCAATAGCAATGGTTTGTTTTTCCTTTTACAAAGCTTATTTTGTAGTATGTGTTTGTGTGATGAATTCACTGTTCAGACATAATATATAAACTTGCTGTTGATTTAGAAATGAAACGTATTTCCATGACGGTCCAGTAGAAACAAGATGTTTATAAAAGAATTTGTAATATATTATAATGAAAATATTTTAAGATATTTTACATTGTCTCTCTTTCATTTATTATATCAAGAAAATATTGCCCCCCAATTGACTCTGTGGGATGAAAGCAATAAAGACTTTTTTTAAAACAGACACAATTCATACTTCAAGTTGTTTTGATGTTTAATAACAGTTTGTTGTTCTTTATACCATTTTATGTGCTTCTGTATCAGATACAAATTTCAGTAGGGAAATAAGCAAACATTCCTAAAAATGAATTAGAAACAACTGTATCTTAGAATACTAAAAGGATTTTAAAACTTTCAATTACGCAAAGTTGATATTTCCCCCTAGTTGAAATAATGGAAAACAAAAGTGTAGACACCCTTCCATGGCTTGGGGAAAAATATCTTCAGGCTTCATGCCCCCAACGTCATGTTCCTTAACAGCCACTGTTGGGATCTGCTTCCACTACAGTCCTGCATGGTAGGCACCATTTTGTCTTCTTCTGAAGGTTCATCAAGACATTGGTTACTGTTAACATGCCGTAAGGTGAGTTTCTGGAAAAGATAACCAACAATCAGTAGAGCCCATTTCATCCTAACTTCATTGGGATATCAGATTAAATTCACTCTCTAAAAATCCCCCCCCTTTTTTTACAACAATAATACACGGGGAACTGTTTCTAAAAAGAGATGATTTGCCATGATTTCATTATTGTCTAACACATCCTTATTTGCAGATCAAAGAAACTGACTGATATTTATCATTGATTGCCAAGAACTCAGGCTTCTTTGGCAACAGGGTACATTTGTGAACTCACCACTGGGCGTTTAGAGCTCCCTGAGTTCAGTTGAGGTTGAAAGAGTTCATCTTCTCAATTGATTGGTGCCTTAAGCATGTGTTTGTTATTCAATAACCATATGATAAACCCCCAAATGGAGGTCACAGCCTAGACTCACATGCAGAAAACTGTTTAGTGATGTTCTTATTTCAAGGCCCTTAACAAAGCACAGTATTTGTAATATTGAGCCATTTCATTGTAGAAGAGTGAAATTATAAAACAACAAACAATCTGTATTGCTTGGTGCTATTCTAATTATTTTTTAAAGGATCTTAAAAATATACCAATATATAAAAAAATACCAATATAGAAAATATAAAAAGGCATATGATATTTTAAACACTGATTTATTTTAATTCATAATCATTATTAAGCATTTTTTTGTACTTAGATGTTAAGCACAATTCAAGTAGGTGCATTATTTTAGCCAGCAACTATGTGTGTTCTCTTTTGCATTCTCCTTTACATTTTGAAACTATTTTTTTTTATTTTCTAGATATGCATTCTATATTAATATGTTTCATTGTATTAGGTAGTTCGGCTAAGTTTCATAGACAATGTCTATCACCATATTATGAGGAAAATCTTCTCAACTAAAAGAATAGTGTGTGGAATGTCTAAGAGTTCATTTTCAGGTATGTCTTGTAAAAATAGAATTTTATCTGTTGTTGGATTCTCCCCCCACAAACTATAACTAATAAAAACAAAAATTTTTTTTTTGGCTCTTGCTCTTACACTGGATTTGAATTAAGAAACAAAAAACAATGCAATTTGTAGGTAATAAAATGATGGAAAACACATGCAGACAATTGCAATTTTCTTGAGTAAGGACTGAAACAAGCCTAGAAGATACTTCTGAGGGGAGTGGAATGGATAGTAAACTTGGGAGGAGCTGCTTAATAGAAAAGAAACAGGAAATTAAAACAGCCTGGCTACTAGACGCGAAGGAGATCTCAAGATTTAAGTCTTTGTCTTTGCTCTGTCAATACATAAATTCAAGCTATTTATAGTAACAACGGAGACAGTAAGAAATGATCAGAGATAAGCAAGAAGATGGTTGATTTTTTCTTAGGAAATAAAAAATTGAACTACGTAAGTATGTAAAAAATGACAAAAGCAACATCTTGTTAATAATTGCTAACAGTTTAAAAGCAATAAATGATTGGGTATTATGCTTATGACAAGAGTCCAGAATGAAAGTTTGGAGTGTACTGGGGGGGAGGGGGCACGTGTGGAGGGGTTGGGTGAGGGGGGTGGGGATTGTATACCAATGAAGGAATTTTTCTTTAGCTTTTCAAAAAGAAGAGCAAACAGGGGGTGGGGGGTGGGGGGAGGGGGAGGAGCAGGGAGAAATATGCAACAATGAATGAATGGGAAAAATTAAAAGAAAAAATCAGTCCCATTTAACAAAAATATACCAAACTTATTTTATTTAAAATCAACTAAAATTTCATTTTTGCTATGTACCTGGGATTCTTCATGTATAGATCTCTTTCCAAAAAAACACTTACCTTTGCTTGCTTCTATCGTATGATTTTGAGGAGAAAAAAATTTTGTGATTTTATATACATTGACTATCCCATTTATTGTCCTTTGAGCTGTTTCAAGAAGTACTGCTATTTTCCTATCTTATTCTGATCAAATCTAAAGGAAGTTGATGGTTTTGATTAAATATCACTTAGCTCAAGGGAAAATGTACACAGAGGCAGGTTTTGAGGCTAATGCTTAAGAACCAAATTAAACACATATTTTCAGCTTCATATTATTGTTGTTAAGTCTATAATTGTTTGTTATCCCACGAGATAGAGTAGAACTGGTTGAATTTTTTTCTTGGCTGGAATCTTTATAAAAGAAGTTCACCAGAACTTTATGCTGCTAACTACTGGCTGGGTCCTTACCATCAAACTGCAAGTTCACTCAGTCATTTCTGTCAAGTCAAAACTGACTCACAGCTGACCCTCCAGCAAGTTTTTAAGGTTGTAAATTACAGGGGAGAAGAATGCCCACCTTTCTCTTATGGAGCCACTGGTGGATTTGAACCACCAGACACACCACATTGGATTAGCAATTCCCTGCAGATTACACTAGCAGAGTTCCTAAAAATTTACATTGTTGTTGTGCATCCTGAGTTGGAACTGACTTAGGTTGACCCTCCAGGGCATTTGCAGAGGCAGTAAATTCCACAGGGGAAGATTGCTCATCTTTCTTCCAAAGAGTAGTTGGTAGATTCTGTCTTGTGTTAGCAGCTCAACTCCTTACCATTAAACGCTCTGATCATAAACATCTTATGCTACCTGGGCAAGCGTGTTAACTATACAAAAAATATTTTTTTACAAAAAAACCTAGTAAGTATTGCTCTTTCTAATTAGAAAATTGATACCTTGTTGCTTGATGGAATTAATAATACTTCCAAAAAAAACCCTAAAATCTCCTTTTCAATGTGGCATAAGAGAAAGACTTTTTGGCTTAGAATGGGGTCTAAATTTCTGCTATCACCATCCTGTCTGCGTTTTGTATATTTGGGAAAGCTCTCATGTCATCTGGAGGAATAGATTCTGTCAGAAAATACTAATTTATAAATCAGTTTCCCCTTCATCTTTAAAAACATGACCTTTCAGTGACTAGTCTAGCTCTTGTCCCTTGGTAACTTTATGAGTAAAAATGTTAAATATTGCTTATATTTTATAATAATGACTTCTGATTGGTGAAATGCACCTGGCCGTATGCATATAGATTTGAAACAAAATACAAATTAGATAAGGAGTCAAACTTAGAACTTCTTTAAAATGCAGACACTTAAACTTTTACATGCTCCACTGTATTTCTGAAAGTTAAGCCTATGGATTTGTAAAAAGAAATATTTGTTCCCTTTGGAATATCTATTTAGCCAATTTAGTTTCCAGACCATCTTGATGTGGACTTCATCTTTTTGCATTAAATTGTCAGCAATAATCTATCTCTCAAAAGACTACATGACTTTATTCAGGAAATGCTGTAAACTCTCCATCAGAGATTCAAGCTGTGGTCTCTGCCCTAGAACTTAGTACCTAGTATCTGGACTAATCTTTTCCAAAGTAGCCATTTCCTAAAGATTAAGGAGGCAACAAGGAGCCCAAGAAACCCAATGATTGTTGTTATGTGCTGTCGAGTTGGAAATATTAGCTGACCTTTCAGTGGGTTTTCAGAGGCAATAAATCTCATTGGAGGAAATTGTTTATATTTCTCCTATGGAGATTGCCACTAGGCCAGCAGAACTCCAAAGTAGAGAAACTGGTGAGTTCAGGACTGTAACTCAGTTCCTTACTACTAAACCACCAGACCTCTCTAATCTAATGTTTAGGCAAGCTTAATGAGAA